TATTTTCTCTTTCCTTGATAAAGGTGTTTCTCATCATTTAAAGTAAATCCTCTATTTTGAAATTTAAGCAAATATATTTCACAGTTAGAGATAAAGGAAGTATCAGGACAATATGGCCTCCTTTACAATTAAACCTTTTGTCTTAAAATCTACATCACTTAGAAATATAAATATCAAATCAGTAAAAAGTCCTGAAGGAAAATAAAAAGCTGTTGTAGTATTAGACCACAGCTAAATCGATACACCAATACTTAATAATTTGGTTTTGAGATATTTAACCATAACTTCATACTCTTGACTGAATATATTACTTTCTGACATCAGGGTCTAATGAGTTTACTGTATAGAGACGGCAACAAGTGCTTGACACAAGTGGTCACACTAATCTAACTTATTGTTCAAAACTTTTTACTAAGTTTGTGTGATTACTATTGTACAAGTAACAGCATGGAACAGTAACATCACACAGTTTGTTTTTCACAACCCTGTTTCATGTGATTGTGGCATGCCATCTTTTACTGCTATTGGGTATAAATAGACATAGGGTAGTACATCCCTACATCACCACCAGACTGACCGGAGTGTTAGGGTCAGGGTAGTACATCCCTACATCACCACCAGACTGACCGGAGTGTTAGGGTCAGGGTAGTACATCCCTACATCACCACCAGACTGACCGGAGTGTTAGGGTCAGGGTAGTACATCAGGGTAGTACATCCCTACATTACCACCAGACTGACTGGTGTGTTAGGGTCAGGGTAGTACATCCCTACATCACCACCAGACTGACCGGAGTGTTAGGGTCAGGGTAGTACATCCCTACATCACCACCAGACTGACCAGAGTGTTAGGGTCAGGGTAGTACATCCCTACATCACCACCAGACTGACCGGAGTGTTAGGGACAGGGTAGTACATCCCTGCATCACCACCAGACTGACCGGAGTGTTAGGGTCAGGGTAGTACATCAGGGTAGTACATCCCTACATTACCACCAGACTGACTGGTGTGTTAGGGTCAGGGTAGTACATCCCTACATCACCACCAGACTGACTGGAGTGTTAGGGTCAGGGAAGTACATCAGGGTAGTACATCCCTACATCACCACCAGACTGACCGGAGTGTTAGGGACAGGGTAGTACATCCCTACATCACCACCAGACTGACCGGAGTGTTAGGGACAGGGTAGTACATCCCTACATCACCACCAGACTGACCGAAGTGTTAGGGACAGGGTAGTACATCCCTACATCACCACCAGACTGACCGGAGTGTAGGGTCCCTACATCACCACCAGACTGACCGGAGTGTTAGGGATAGGGTAGTACATCCCTACATCACCACCAGACTGACCGGAGTGTTAGGGACAGGGTAGTACATCCCTACATCACCACCAGACTGACCTGAGTGTTAGGGACAGGGTAGTACATCCCTGCATCACCACCAGACTGACCGGAGTGTTAGGGACAGGGTAGTACACCCCTACATCACCACCAGACTGACTGGAGTGTTAGGGACAGGGTAGTACATCCCTACATCACCACCAGACTGACCGGAGTGTTAGGGTCAGGGAAGTACATCAGGGTAGTACATCCCTACATCACCACCAGACTGACTGGAGTGTTAAGGTCAGGGTAGTACATCCCTACATCACCACCAGACTGACTGGAGTGTTAGGGTCAGGGAAGTACATCAGGGTAGTACATCCCTACATCACCACCAGACTGACTGGAGTGTTAAGGTCAGGGTAGTACATCCCTACATCACCACCAGACTGACTGGAGTGTTAGGGTCAGGGAAGTACATCAGGGTAGTACACCCCTGCATCACCACCAGACTGACCGGAGTGTTAGGGACAGGGTAGTACATCCCTACATCACCACCAGACTGACCGGAGTGTTAGGGTCAGGGTAGTACATCCCTACATCACCACCAGACTGACTGGAGTGTTAGGGTCAGGGAAGTACATCAGGGTAGTACATCCCTACATCACCAGACTGACTGGAGTGTTAGGGACAGGGTAGTACATCCCTACATCACCACCAGACTGACCTGAGTGTTAGGGTCAGGGTAGTACATCCCTACATCACCACCAGACTGACCGGAGTGTTAGGGACAGGGTAGTACATCCCTGCATCACCACCAGACTGACCGGAGTGTTAGGGTCAGGGTAGTACATCAGGGTAGTACATCCCTACATCACCACCAGACTGACTGGAGTGTTAGGGTCAGGGTAGTACATCCCTACATCACCACCAGACTGACTGGAGTGTTAGGGTCAGGGAAGTACATCAGGGTTGTACATCCCTACATCACCACCAGACTGACCGGAGTGTTAGGGACAGGGTAGTACATCCCTACATCACCACCAGACTGACCGGAGTGTTAGGGACAGGGTAGTACATCCCTACATCACCACCAGACTGACCGGAGTGTAGGGTCCCTACATCACCACCAGACTGACCGGAGTGTTAGGGATAGGGTAGTACATCCCTACATCACCACCAGACTGACGGAGTGTTGTACATCCCTACATCACCACCAGACTGACCTGAGTGTTAGGGACAGGGTAGTACATCCCTGCATCACCACCAGACTGACCGGAGTGTTAGGGACAGGGTAGTACACCCCTACATCACCACCAGACTGACTGGAGTGTTAGGGACAGGGTAGTACATCCCTACATCACCACCAGACTGACCGGAGTGTTAGGGTCAGGGAAGTACATCAGGGTAGTACATCCCTACATCACCACCAGACTGACTGGAGTGTTAAGGTCAGGGTAGTACATCCCTACATCACCACCAGACTGACTGGAGTGTTAGGGTCAGGGAAGTACATCAGGGTAGTACACCCCTGCATCACCACCAGACTGACCGGAGTGTTAGGGTCAGGGTAGTACATCCCTATATCGCTATCCAGACTGACCAGAGTGAATCTTCAGTGAATGTTTTGTATGAGAGGTCAATCGTCAGTGAATGTTTTGTATGAGAGGTCAATCTTGAGTGAATGTTTTGTATGGGAGGACAATTTTTAGTCAATGTTTAGTAATTTTTTAGTCTATATTTGGAATGGTTAGCCTTTTTCTATGTTTTGTTTAATGTATATTTTACATGTTGTTGATGTAATTCTTTGTCCTGAAACTATCGCCTGTTCGAAGAAATCTATAGGTATAGGAAAAACCAAGTTGGTCTTCACACTGTGTAAATAATTGTATCAAGTTACGTATAGACTTGATGACTTCCTACAAGCGTTCACTGATTGGGTTTTTATCCGCTGTGGGATACGTGGGTGGACCATCCATGTCCTGTCTCAGAGTCCTCACAGGTGCTCAACTTCTTCCAAAATCTCACTTACAACATACCTATCAGAAACAGTGACTTTCTATTTAAAATTTCATGCTTTCATGATAAAAGGTTATGCCTGGTTTTGTTTTGTATTTGAATAATAACATTCACGTTTAGTATTACTTTGATTTCTGTATGCCTCTAGTTGGGTGTATGATTCACGGGTTTACCATTCCGTGCTATTTTTACCTGATGTAATCTCGCTGTGTTTGCCCATTGTAATCTGGATTGATAGGGCTTATGCTATTGAGTGTAAAGCCCGCTATAGGAATAATGTGTACTCTGTTGTCCAAACCTACTCAAGGAATAATGCTCTTGAGACATTTTGGTCCTAGGTTGATAGTCCAGTGGAGCTGGTCACTGGGATGGTGCCAGATTTCTGACATAACTAGTATTTTGTTCTGATGGTGTTCAAATGCCACTCAGGTACACATAAACGCTGTTAGCCATTGATCTATCAAATTAACAACTTACAAGGACTGAAAGAACATAGTTATATTCATTTATTTAAAAGTATATGATAATGCCAGTTGGTTAGAAGGAACTGAAGGGAACATTTCTATGCCTAATTTCTTTTATCATTTGTGTTTAAAGTATATTTTCATGTTTTGAAAAATCATGTTGGCCAGATTTGAACCATAAAGTTTGAAAGTTTTACTTTCTCAGGTTTGGAAGTTTTAGATTCAAATCCCAATTAGGTTACTAAACATTTTCTTGCTTCAAAATCTGCTTTTACCCTTTAAGTTATGTCTAATTCAAATTTCACATAAATTTGAAGATACATTATACAATATTTTTATGTCAATATCCTTTCACCACCACTAATAAATACAGCTGATGTTTTAATAGTATATCAGAATGAACACGTCATACCCGTAATCAAATCAAAACACAACATTCGGTCATTACCAGTTTTGGTTATAACAAAAAATATCACCATACTGTTTAAATATGTGTTGTTTAAAGTTTTGAGATAAGCCTATATTCACTTGATTTTTGATGCTGTGGAATTATCTTAGAGCATTGCAAATCTTGCACACCAGGATAGAATTACTCCAAGGACATTTTTTCCATTTTGTATGTGTTTTGTATGAGAATTTTCAGTGTATGTTTTGTACAAAAACAGGAACTGATATTTTTTGGGGGTTAATTTATGCAGTGTTACTACTTATAACAGCAGTGAATTCAAATTTATTCTTTAGATATTTTAACTAAATATTGTGATACCTGGCTTTTGGTTGAATTTTAATGGCTTTTAAAGTGTTTCCATATCAGATAAACGAGGAAATTGATTGATCTAATTCAATGTGAACATTCATATAAGAATGTTTACAGTTATATTTTAACTACCATTGAATCATGGTGTTTTTGCATTTTAGATAAAAAATAGGATTCTCTTAACTCCTAATACACTAAATTAGTCTACCAAACAATAACCCAAAAATTTTGGTAAATAAGAATGTGGGAATACTCAGTGTTTGTTTCATCACTTACCCGTGATCGGCTGGAATGTTTAATTCCAGATTCAGAGGTCAAAAGAGAGATTTTCTTTGAAAGACTTTGAACTATTGAAGAGTGCTTGATTCTTGGAATTTTGAGTGCCTCTGACACTGATTGAATTTTAATAATACATTTTATTTCTATTTTATTTCAGCATCCTCATACAACTTTCCATCTAAACTCGACAACGATGTGGGTTTCCCCGCTGATATCAAAGTAGAAGCTAGTGAAGATTGTTTACTTGACGATGACAAAGATGAGAAAATCTGCGTAGTTTGTGGAGAAAAAGCATCTGGGTACTATTTCGGTGCTCTGGTCTGCTTGCCCTGTAAGGTAAGTTGTAAATACATCATACTTTATGGTTTAGAGTTTTATCATGTGTATTTTTGTAATGTGATGCAGTTTGCCTTTTTTCCCATCCTCATTTCCTCGTGTAAGGTTTCCGACATATAGAGTTTATTAGTTTGTGTTTCGGAGGTGTTATGTGATAGTAGTGTTTCCAGGAAATTTCTAGATGTCTATATTTAGTTTACTTTGATGATGAAATGCTCAGATAATGATTTTCAAATTAAAGAAATTCATCAATTAAATTTTTTTTCAGTATTGAATGAATGTTTTGTCATCTGATGTTTGATCCTAGAGCCTGCTGTTGACACTTTGTCTGATGTTTGTTTTATCTACTAGTATATATATGGATATACAGAGTAAATGTTTTGATCTTAGAATATCTCAATAACATAGAAAAGGTATTTTTAAACCTGACTTATATACTGTAAGGGTTTTTTTTTTCAAACTTATCCCATTTCAGAAAATTAAGAAATTAGTCAAGGCTAAGAATTACTGTGATAAAAATAGATGAAGGCAATTCAAAACATTGAATCTATATAGGTTTATATCAAGTATTTATATAGAAACTTAGCTGCTGTGTCATATACATGGCTGGGAATCTAATTAAGGCTTACATAATAAGGCAGAAATATAGAGTACATATCAACTTATTAGTATTTCAGCAGTGTATGAAAGTAGATAAAGCGTTATCATTATTTTCACAAAAATCCATTCAAAGGTAACCAAAAACAAAAACATGAAAAGATCAAAACCAGTTTGAATTTGCTGAGTAAAATCAGCAGGTTGGAGGTATATGTACTAAAATATTGAACAGGTTAAGGAAAAGTAAGAATAAATTGTTAATCATAGAATTTTATCTATAGAGTATCAGCTTTCCTTAAATGTTTGATCACAGAATTTTTCATCCTGGTAATTTCACTGACAATAAGCATTTTACAATCATAGGCATTATAAGCACACTGAATTCTGAGATTCCAAACTGTGTATTTATAAACTGACTGAATTCTGAGATCCCAAACTCTGTATTTATAAACAGACTGAATTCTGAGATCCCAAACTGTGTATTTGTAAGCAGACTGAATTCCAGAAGATCTCAAACATATTCATAACTGACTGAATTCTGAGATCCCAAACTGTGTATTAATAAAAAGACTGAATTCTGAGATCCCAAACTGTAAATTGAGTGAATTCTGAGATCCCAAACTCTGTATTTATAAAAAGACTGAATTCTGAGATCCCAAACTCTGTATTTATAAACAGAAACTGTAAACTGTGTATTTATAAACAGACTGAATTCTGAGATCCCAAACACTGTATTTATAAACAGACTGAATTCTGAGATCCCAAACTGTGTATTAATAAACAGACTGAATTCTGAGATCCCAAACTGTGTATTAATAAACAGACTGAATTCTGAGATCCCAAACACTGTCTTTATAAACAGACTGAATTCTGAGATCCCAAACACTGTCTTTATAAACAGACTGAATTCTGAGATCCCAAACACTGTCTTTATAAACAGACTGAATTCTGAGATCCCAAACTGTGTATTTATAAACAGACTGAATTCTGAGATCCCAAACTCTGTATTTATAAACAGACTGAATTCTGAGATCCCAAACAAACTGTGTATTTATAAACAGACTGAATTCTGAGATCCTAAACACTGTCTTTATAAACAGACTGAATTCTGAGATCCCAAACTCTGTCTTTATAAACAGACTGAATTCTGAGATCCCAAACTGTGAAAACAGACTGAATTCTGAGATCCCAAACTGTGTATTTATAAACAGACTGAATTCTGAGATCCCAAACTGTGTATTTGTAAGCAGACTGAATTCCAGAAGATCTCAAACTGTGTATTTATAAACAGACTGAATTCTGAGATCCTAAACTGTGAAAACAGACTGAATTCTGAGATCCCAAACACTGTATTTATAAACAGACTGAATTCTGAGATCCCAAACACTGTCTTATAAACAAAACTCACACTGTAGAAACAGACTGAATTCTGAGATCCCAAACTCTGTCTTTATAAACAGACTGAATTCTGAGATCCCAAACACTGTCTTTATAAACAGACTGAATTCTGAGATCCCAAACTCTGTATTTATAAACAGACTGAATTCTGAGATCCCAAACTCTGTATTTATAAACAGACTGAATTCTGAGATCCCAAACACTGTCTTTATAAACAGACTGAATTCTGAGATCCCAAACTGTGTATTTATAAACAGACTGAATTCTGAGATCCCAAACACTGTCTTTATAAACAGACTGAATTCTGAGATCCCAAACACTGTCTTTATAAACAGACTGAATTCTGAGATCCCAAACACTGTATTTATAAACAGACTGAATTCTGAGATCCCAAACTCTGTATTTATAAACAGACTGAATTCTAAGACCACAAACTCTTTATTCAAGTTAGAGTCAACTATTTTGTTTGAACACCACATTGTATTTATGATAGATACTAATTGATGTGTTGATATCAGTTTACCATGTGAATGTCACGCTATCCCATGCTTTACTCTTGGACATGCTTTCATGTTACGCCTGTTGTAATGCCAGGAGTATATGATGAAATAACATTTCCGGCACATGTAGTTTACACTATAACATCACAATAGTGACAGTTAAAAAAAAAAACCCAATGGATCCTAGGCCTGTGATAAAAAAAGAATTCAAAAGAGTTTCATGACACAGAAAATGTCACAAATATTTCACTCTGTAATCTCTAAGAGGTGTATGAAGTAGGAAATGAAACATCTTTTAGGCTCTTTTAATCTTATATGAAATAAAAAATTTTTGTGTGTGTGTTATATTTTGATTAAAAGTAACATGATCAATTTTAAAACTATTTGTATTGTGAACAAGTCATTAACATAGATTCCAATCACACAACTGATTAGGCTTATGTCATACTGTACATTTCAATTCTGATATTCATTATCATAATGATGAACAATGATGTTGTTGTTGAAATAATGAAGTTTAATCAGAGAAATGCTGGCTAAGATATTATACCAGGCTCGGGCTAATTATACAGAAGTAATTTGTGGTGACTGAAGGGGTAGAGTAAATAGTTAATATGTGTTATTCAACTGTAACAAAATTATTTAGGGATTGACTGTCTTGTAAATAAAATATTTATAAAGTAGAGCAAAGTTCCAATTCTAGTGACATTCAGTAACTTTTTTTGGAGAAGCAGTAAAAACATGAATTAGGTACTAGATCATTTTTACATTACACCAGAATTAAGTCAGTGATTTCTTACTAGGAAATGGGCTGGAGACATTAAAGAACAATTTATTTTTCAATTTATTGTAAGAAAAATGTAAAAGAAAATCATGATATTGTTTGTTATCTGCTTCGTTCACATAAAGCAATGATGAATTTTGAAGTCAGGGTATCACATTTAAAATAGGTAACAAATTTTCAGAGATTTTCTTCATGTGAGGAGTTACAAGTTCAACTTTCTACCATAAAAACATGTTGACACAGAGATCTAACAGAGAAAACCATTTTACACATGATCTGAAGTGTTTCAGTCTCTGTTTAGTCTATCTATAAGACATGTGCCAGCTAGAATTTGGTTCCAATTTACCTAGCTATCTACAAATTAAAATCTTTTTTCACAGAATTTAATATATCACCAATAAAGTGATCAATCATGGTACAATTTGCTCTGTCAATATAGGCAAATTCACCATGCACACCCAGTCATTATAGGAGACTCTCACAAAAAGTCATTCTCAGATAATGTATCACTAAAGGTAATCCATTACAGGATGTTTTGAATATTACACACTACTCTATTCAGGTCAACGTGAATGACATATACTTGAGTGAATTCTACAGGGTTCTAGAAATCTATAAGATCGTTTATAGTTGTTCCTGATTGTTTAGATTCTGGGTGGCTGAGTAGTAATAACCTTATTTTTCTGAGTAACTTTCGTGTTCTGAGTAGTGTCACCATTATTAGGGACACAGTTTGAGTATGAAATGTTCACTCAAATGGAGGTGTAGGACCAAAACTGAAGAAAATAAATGACCATTTGTTTCTAATTGGACACTGAAGGGAAAATATGGCAAAATTACAGCTTTAGCCATAAACCTCAGTTAAATATTAAAGGTGATTCATTGTTGGAGCTGTTGATAAGATTGGGACTGGGTCTGTATTCAGCAGGTGGGTGGTTTCTTGTACCATTTAAAAACAAAACTGACAACTTTTATTTGATCTATGACAAACGGAGGTAGCTGTTAGATAAGTAGACCTTGGCTTCCCAGGCCTCTGATTATCACAACAGTCTGTGCTAACCTTTTTTGAGAAGGTTCAAACCCATGTGTGGTTCACCTGGAAAAGTTACCTTTATCTGTTAACATATGTCTGTAGGATCCAAATTACAACACCTGTACATACACATCTACAACACCTGTATGTACACACCTACAACACCTGTATATACACACCTACAACACCTGTACATACACATCTACAACACCTGTATGTACACACCTACAACACCTGTACATACCTACAACACCTGTACATACACACCTACAACACCTGTACATATACATCTACTACACCTGTTCATACACATCTACAACACCTGTACATACACACCTACAACTCCTGTACGTACACACCTACAACACCTGTACATACACACCTGTGCAGACACACCTACAAAATCTGTATGTACACACATACATCACTTGTGTGTACACACCCACAACCCCTGTATGTATACACCCACAACACCTGTATGTACACAACTACAACACCTGTGCAGACACACCTACAACACCTGTACTTACACACCAACAACATTTGTACATACACATTTATAACACCTGTACATACACATTTATAACACCTATATGTACACACCTACAACACCTGTACATGTACACTTACAAAACCTGAACAACCACACATACAACACCTGTATGTACATACATACATACTCAGAACA